CCATGTTCGCCTCCCCCGTACGTAACACGTCCACCTTCATATGATTCTATGTCGGACAAGAAATCACGAGTGCCGGTCATGTGCCGCGAACACCCGCTATCAAAGTACCATGATCCTGCAATATTAGACTTCAAAGAAGTATGAATAACATTGCATTTCAACTCAGATTTTGGTACCCAAACAAATTTTTCTTTAGTCCTACTTCCGTGATTTTTGGGCATATTACGAGACACGGGAGGCACCACTGGTTCCAAAGACCTATCAAATGAATGCAATTTATAACAATAAGGTCTAATGTGCCCGGGTGCATGACAATAATGGCAAACATATCGACGCCTTCGTTGTTTAATATTCTTAAAAACCTTAGGCGTGGATTTTGAGTCAAACTTACCTGTTTCCTCCGATGGACGCACAAATATGGTAGGCTTAAACCCAAGTCCCGCTTTGTTATGATTATGTTTAAGAGCAGCTAGGACATCCAATTGGCTCTTACCTGTGTTAAGTCGTTGGAAGGTCTGACGGGAGTATTCAAGTTCCTCTCTTACCTTCACCAACTTTTGGTCATGGCCAGAGATGGTCACCTCCAATTGGGTTATGGTAGACTTTAAAGAATCGTTCTCCTCTTCCAACTTCTTAGCCTCTGACTTCATCCTCTTATTCTCATCTTTTAACTTACTGTTCTCCTTCTCGAGCCTATCCGCATCGTAGACGGCATCTATATAGCGTTTATGAAGTTCCACGTACACCTTTTCATGATCATCAAAGTTAACAAATTGAAGGCTGCTCGGAGGACCTATATCCCTGCCTTTAGCATCACAAAACAAGGTGTTAAGACAAAAAAATTCAGAATTTTTATTTTCATACCTGCCGGGTGTCATGACACTTCGGGCGACACCTCGGCCGACACCTGCTGGATCAATTTGTTTGGGCCTGAATTCGCTCACACTGGTCACAAAGGCAGCATCCCTATCATTTTCAGCTTCACTTTCAGCGGAACCGTCATCAAATTCATCATCATCGCTCACAGTGGCGTTGAAGTTCAAGCCCCTTTTGCGCAAGGTATTAGCACACTCATTTGCATAGTGCCCATACCCTTTGCAAGCATTGCATTGGACGGTCTCAAGTGACTTCGGGGTGAACTTTCTCCTATCATTGAGTTTGGCCTTTTCACCAGTTGGATTCGATCGGTTCGAATGAGGTGGAGTGAATGGCCTTGGCGCTCGGGACCTCGAGGCTTGGGAGTTGTTTTGAAAATTTCTTCTCTTTAGCAATGATGTGAAGCGTCTCGTCATGTGTGCAACTCCTTCTTCATCAAACTCATTTTCCTTCATATCACGAACTAGATTCTCCAAGTTATCATCATTCTCGGACATAGACTGAAGGGCGATCCCCTTCCCTTTTCCGAAAGGTGCACTCTTTTCTTCGAGATCTTGCACCTCAAGATTCATCTCGAACGTCTTCAGAGAGCCAACAAGATCATCAAATTTAATAGTCGTCACATCCTTCGAAACATCAAGCGCCGTGATCATCATGTTGAAGCGCTTTGGAAGAGATCTCATTACTTTTGCCACGAGCCTTTCATTAGAGATCGGATCCCCAAGAGAGTGACATTCATTTACAATACTCATCAACTTGGCCGTGTATGACGAGATATTCTCGTTTTCGAGCATTCGTATTGTCTCAAATTTTGCCGCAAGAAGACGTAACCTTGTTTGACAAACACTCCTCGAACCCTCACAATGGCGTTGCAAGGTGTCCCATGCATCTTTGGCAGTAGTGCACGTGCTAATCAGGCGAAACATGTTCTCATCGACTGTGCCAAAAATTGCATTGAGTGCCTTTGAATTGAAGTTGGCCAACGTGCTCTCACCCGTACTGTACTCTTCTTCATTTTTCTCGTGTTTCTCCCCTTCAATTTCTGTAGTAGGAGGCTCCCATCCGGAAAGTACAGATAACCAAGCCCGTCCATCAATGGATTTAATGTAGGACGTCATACGCATCTTCCAAATGGTGTAATTTGAGCCATCGAGAATTGGAGGCCGAAAAAGCGAAGTTCCGTTGAACTCCATGTGTACCTATCAAGACAGAATCACACTTATTAGAATAAGCGACCCTCTCTGATACCACTTGTTAGAATTTTAGGTACGTAAAAATCCAGATTTTCACACAAAGATCAGAAATTCAAATACGCAGCGGAAATAAATAACACGAAAATTCAAAATTTAGCCTACAAGTGAAAATCACTTGTAGACTAAGGCAACATGCCAAAATTCCACTAGATCAATTTAATTACGAAGTCTTCTTTCAATACAAAAATATCTAGTGAACTACAAAAAAAATTCGCGAGATAAAACTAGATGCTCTTAATCAAATCGAACTATAAAAGGCAAATAACAAAAATAATCTCAAGAGTGATATGAGATGCCCAAGTATAACGAGTGCTGCTCCTTTCTTATTTGTCTGTCCCACGTTGAAGCTTCCCAGATCAAATAACAAAAGATGTGCTGCCTGGATTAAACCTCAAAAGCCTTGCTCCACTAATCCTTTATGATTTGTTTTTTCCTCAATTCGCACCATGTGCTGCTCTGCCCTTTTATCAACGCAGGCCTCTCAATCTTTTTTCTGTTTCTTCTTTTCCAAGACAAATATCTTCCTCTCTTTTTACTTCCTTTACCTAGTAGGACACCTAATAAGATAAGAGAACTTTTTTACACAATAATATTATACTAAATAAAAATAAACTAATATATATATATACATATTAAAATAAATCAGAAAAGCAAAATAAAATAAATATCCAAAACTAAGTATTTAACAAGTTTAGTTTTTAAACCAATCCCCCCCATTTATCGCTTTTTATAGTTTCAATTAATACGAGAAAATTCACGATTTGATTCACACTCCTCGTGGGATCGACCCTTGCTCGCCACTACTACTAGTTAGTAGGGGTTAGTTGAGGAAAAATATAAATATTAATTTTGCCGCGTTGCGACACGCGGTCAGTGTTTAAGCATTGACTTTCATGTTAACATGTATATAATTAGGATATGTCATGCAAGAACTTTAAATAAGGCTTTTTAGTAAGTCCCACAATATCTCTCACCAAAATAAGGGGATCCACATTTAAAAAAAAATAAAAATAAAAATTGAATGTTATTATCGACCTCACTTATATGTTGTAGCGCTTGTTTGGATGTACATTTTAAGTGAACATCAACCTACTGAAATTTATATAAGTTTTATGCACAATCAGATTCATGAATATGAAATTGTCCAGTTTGGGCTCAAATGAAAGAAATATTCACACTTATATATTCATAACTATGCTTGTGTATAATCAATGTATAACTTTAATTGTATTCCCAAATTTGGTCTAATGATGGAGGCCAAGCAGACCTTTAAGATGGATGAAGAAAAAAATCAAGCAAATTTGATAACTATAATACATCATGTTTCAACGGGCGGAGAGATTTAATAATATCTTTTTGTTTTGTTAAAAATAATATAAAATTTGGTCCTCTAATTATCTTTATTTTCTAATTCTATTCACGGGCACGAGCACCAGATTATACAACGGCCGTTAATTGGCTATGACTTTTGCTAATCTTGTGAATTTGGAAATGAGACAAAAGAGGGGTTGCTTTCATATGAGTTTTGAAAGAAAAGATTATATATTAATTTAATTTAATATAGATAAAAGTGATAATATATAAAATGTGTTCCTATCATGTGGAAAAGAGTGTGGAGTGGTGTTCCATTTCAAGGATAAGAGTATTTTAAAGTATATATATTGTGTTTTTTGGGACCATTTCTTCAATGATTCTTTGTAATTCTTTGATGAGTTGACAAGCGTGACATAAGTAAGTAAAATGTTTTGATTGAAATATAGTGTGTTTTAGTATAAAGCTAGTACTTTAAATCTATGATTGAAGTAATATTTAACATTTTAAATTTAGTTTAAAAAACATAATCTACCTTTAATTAGGTAACAAGTGGTATTTATGATACAAGAGTTTAAATAGCATACAGTATATGTTATTTTCACAACCCAAAAAAAGGTAAAAAAATAAAAAATAACAAAAATCCAACGCCTAACTGCAATTCCAATTTAAAAATTATAATTTTTGCTGAAAAATTGCAATGAAATTTTTAAGGATAATAGTTTTTTTTTTTTTTTTGAAAATCCTAACAANCATATAAAAAAAATAATTTTAATGAAAATTGAATATTTTGATAAAAAATTCTACACCAATAAGCAGTTGAAAAATTTATATTCGGAACCATTAAATTCTAGATAAAATTCCTAAAATTTAGTTCTAACAAAATAAATAGTTGTGCTCTCTGTTGAAATACTTCAAACAAAAGTTATAATATTGAAATATTATTTATTGTAATTTATAATAATTTTTATTAATGCTTTTTCAAAAAAAAAATAAAAAAATTAAGGAACATTTATGACGCTTTTGGAAGAAAGCAATGCGGGGGGAAGTTTCTCAACCCCTAAACTCAAATCTCGATGATAATAAATATTGTTATGTAACACTAGCTATTTAATTTCAAGCCAAATTCTTAATAATTTACCACGATTCAATTGTGTTCTGTCCTAACAATTTATATACAACTACATTTTTCTCTTCAAAAAGTTCTCAATTCTTCGTTTTTTTTTTTTCCCCTTTTTTGATATGATTAGCCCTAGCTTCTGATTTCACATTAACGTTTGACTGAGTCATATCTTGCTATTTTATACATAAAAGGGAATAAAATAGTAATAATTAGTTATTACTCATGCATGCATGGCCCATAGGTTTTAATTTCAACTTATTTTGTTTGTTTAATATGTTCTAATAATAACTGTAGAAGTACATCAAATCCGATCTTCGCTTTCCAGGAAAGAAGACTAAAACGAGTTGTTTTGTTAGGGTTCTTAATTACTTAGGATTTTGTAGGTCAAACTCAATTTGGTTCAATAACTCGAATTTCACATTTAGTCACAAAAGCATATTTACATTATTGTTCCAACCCTAAATTGATGATATATAAATTCGACCTGGTCCTAAAAAAATGTGCTAATAAATAATTGAGAAATAAATAATTTGTTTGCATATACATATATTTATATATATAGTTAAAAAATTCTCGATGATTATAAAATATATTTGCATCAACACCATAGACAAAATAAACAAGACGGTCAATAATGAATCTATTATGAACACTAAACTAGTTTATAACTACTTTAGTTTGTTTATAAGTTTCTTGTATTAAAATATGAGTTTTGTAGATGACCTTCTTAATTAAAAAGCTTCTCCACGATAATAAGCTATTATAATTTTTATTTCAGTTGACTTAAACTTATAAGTTAATTTTACCAAATAAAGTATTATTCAATATCAATTAAACATGCGTAATTTTTAAATGCCATTTTTTAGGACTAAAGATTGCTCATCTTAATTAGTTCTATGAAATTCAAATTAACAAACGAGTCAAAAAAATTAAATAAAAATAATAATAATAAAAATTGAGGGATTATTCCACCAGACAGCAGAAGAAGAAAGAAAAGGATTTATACTGTCTGCAAAAAGAAGCACCAACTTTTAGTTTCCTTCATTTTTATTTTTATTTTATTTTGTTCACCTTTAATCAATTTCGTTGCATTTTATCCAGCAACTTTTTTCAACACCATATTCTCTTGTTCTCTGCACACTGCAAAAAGACAGCCTGGAATATTTGCATCACAAGCCAGGCCAGCTTATATACACTGGCTGATTTAAGTGTACTATATATTTATAATTTATATATATATTCACGTAGTTACAAATCAAAATCTTCATGAGATTGACATGAGACAGAAAAAAAAAACATGGTACTTATATAAGTATAATATTAAGTGCTTTCATTTTTTCTTTTTTCATAATATTAGTGCTATGTATGCATAATTTTATTTACAGATTATTATTAGACAGACCTAATAATTAGACAGTCATATTTTTTTTTTTTCTACAAATATGAATAATTTCATATTAAAATATCATACTCCTAAAAGTAACATTAGTCTGTTCATACTTTAAAAAAACGAATAATTTCAAGCTAAAATGTCACATTTAAATAGAAAAAAGAAAAAAAAAAAACATAAACAAAAATATAACATTTTATAGCATAAGTATTCATTTTTGTTATAACAATTACAATACGATAAACCCAACTAACAACTAGCTCTGACATATAAAATTTTGTACTTTACATACATTTTTGAATTATTAATTCCCTTTGATTCTTTTTTGTGGGCCCCTTCATTTGATCTTCCTAGAACACAACACTCCTAAATACAATGCACAGAGAATAAACTAAACACACATTATTCTAATCTATTTTCTTCTTTTCTCATACATAGACACATGCTCATAGACAATACAGCCTGTCAACCTTAATTACCTTTCTTATAAAACCAGGAGATATTTCCTTTTTCTTTCTCCTTTTCCCATAATAGTTTATTAGTGGAGATTGAGTTGTTATTTCTCCAAGGAGATTATAAGCACAGGGTTTCCTTTTTTGGTACTTTGTTCTGGCAAAAAACAGAATTTTTGGTACATTGTGTGTGTGTGTATAAATATATCCACATAATTTAATTTTAGTGAAAAAGATTCAATTTTTGTTTCTCCAAGGAAAGTATATAGGACTTGTGTATACAAGAAACTGTTCCTATATATATATATATACACTTAAAAGTCGGCTTGCCGTTCGAATGCATGCTAATGTGCTCTTTCTGGTTCGGTTTTTCGATTTACTGCGAAAGAAACTAAAATGTATATTGCAATGAGATTGACGAAGAAACCCGACATTTGTTTCAAGGTACGGTTCGCGTTTTTNCTTCCCATTTTCCAGTTATCATTTGCAAATTTATTTTTCAAATGCACTTAACTCTGATCTTGCAGTTTGCACAATGTATGTTACAATCACTTTTTTTTTTCATTTATCATTTACTTTTTGCTCATGGATTGTAGTTTAATTTGTTGTTAATTTGCTCTTCTTTAGGAATTCACATATAGCCTTATTCTAATGTTCTTTGATAGTCATAAAGTTGTGTTTAAGTGATTACTATTTACTAATAATTCATCTAAAGTCCCTGATTTGTATAAATTTGCAATCACAATGTCATCAAAAGGAAAGAAAAAAGAAAAGAAAAAGAAAAGAAGATCAGATCTAGTTTGTAAATTTTATCACAACTAGTCATTATTTGATACCAAATCCAATTAGTTAAACTAAACAACATGCTGAGAGATATTAGGAGATAGATAGTAGATGCCAATGATGTATTCTTTTTAATTAACAACTTGCTTAGAAGTTAATTAGATCAGATAATAAAAGTGATTAATTGTGAGCCTCAAACTCTGACTTTTTTTCTGCACATATCTCCAAATTAACCACTGGTTTTTAATATATTATCTGGTTCATCTTTACACTAATCTAATTATTCAGCATCTTTATCAAAGAATATTGACATATAGGACTGACTAAACTTTTTATCGATTGATTGATCCAAGTTATATTCGATACTATATTTTCGTTTAAAAAAGTATCACGATTTAGTTCAGTGTGTATATAAAAAGGATTAGGGGCACATATTTTTTCAACATAAGTACTTAAAAAGTTTGTCAAAAAGGAATCAAAATTATCACACAAGCTCCTTGTTCCCTCCCTTTTTTTCCCAAGTTTTTAATACTTTATCTTCAAGTCTTTCCTCTCTTTTGACAATGTAGAAACAGACATGTTGCAAACAGTAATGATGTGGTTTTCTAAGACAAGTTTTTTTGTTTAATTTTTTTGTTTTTTTTGTTTTTTGGCACTGTAACCTTAGTGGCTACAAAAAAAATTGTCTTTTCAGGCATGAGAACTAAACTTCAACCTTGGGTAGATCTGTTGACTAAAGCTCCACAAAATTATTACTTTGCTGTGAGTCCACTGAGAACTCATCACCAGGGCCATCAAGAATCGGGATTCGGTTTTTCCATGGATAGAATGTTCGAGTTGCAGAAAATCGAGTCGATGAGGAAAATGATGCTGATACAAGAAGAAATTTTCAAACAGCAGGTATG